TCATGAAATACAAGTGCAAATGACGGAAACGTATGCCAGTATCCTCCGAAAACAATTAGAGCACATTGTTATAAGATTGAAAAGTCACAGCACACACACACTTTAGAGGAAATATGAGTTCATTCAATTACAGAAACATCAACACGCAGTCAAAATTAGACATATTGTTCCAGTAATAAACAGGACTAAAGCTCGAGTCAGAATAAGCATTGAAAATCAAACTCTGAAAATATTAGTATAACCAAAATTAAACCATTTGAGTGTGAAGATATGATTCAGACAAAACAAAGATGCACAAGAGCAAAGCATTACAAACAGTTATGCAAATCATATAACAGTTTGCATTATATTAAAATTATATTCTTGTCTACCTTCTTATAAATACATATAGCCATAAATGGCTCAGGTTATAGGTTTTTAAAAGGACAAAACAATCTTAACATGCAAAAAACCTTTCAAAATCATTATTTGTTGGACCCACACTTGAAAACGCTATTGCTTTATATTGTGAAAAGGGAAAGTAGTCCATATTTAAGGACACACATTAAATAAAGTTATATATATATATATATATATATAAAGATAAATACATTTATATACAACACCTGACAAAAGTCTTGTCATCAATCCCAGTTGTAAGAGCAACAAATTATAACTTGACTTCTAGTTGACCATTTGGAAAAGTGGCAGAAGGTGGATTTCTCTGATGAATCATCAGTTGAGCTGCATCCCAATTATCACCAATACTGCAAAAGACCTACTGGAACCCGCATGGACACAAGATTCTCACAGAAATCAGTCAAGTTTGGTGAAGGAAAAGTCATGGTTTGGGGTTACATTCAGTATGAGGGCATGCAAGAGATCTGCAGAGTGGGTGGCAACATCAACAGCCTGAGGTATCAAGACATTTGTGCTGCCCATTACATTACAAACCACAGGAGAGGGCAAGTTGTTCAGCAGGATAGCGCTCCTTCTCATACTTCAGCCTCCACAATAAAGCTCCTGAAAGCAAAGAAGGTCAAGGTGCTCCAGGACTGGCCAGCCCAGTCACCAGACATGAACATTATTGAGTGTGTCTGGGTTAAGATGAAGGAGGAGGCATTGAAGATGAATCCAAAGAGTCTTGATGAACTCTGGGAGTCCTGCAAGAACGCTTTCTTTGCCATTCCAGATGACTTTATTAATCAGTGATTTGAGTCAGTGCAGAGATGTATGGATGCAATTCTCCAAGCTCATGATGGAGTCAGACACAATATTCATTCTGTTTCCACTGCAGCATGACTTTATATTTAATACTCGACAATATTTATTTTAAGTTTCATTTCATTTGTCTAAGGAAAGTCAGACCTCACTGTCCTTATTAAATCAATAAAAGTCAAGGCATGATCATATTTAATTTAGGTAAAATAAGCATAATCTAGAGGCCTTTGGCTTTCATGTAAGCCACTTCTAATACCAAATGATCAACTAGAAGTCAAGCTATTATTTGTTGTTCCTAAAACTTGGATAAGTGTCAAGACTTTTACCAGGTAGTGTATATATAAATAGTGGGTACAGGAAAACAAGACAAAAAATAACACCTTCAAAAAAAAACTTTTATATAATCAATCAAATTAAATGGGTTTTTGTTTTTGATTAGAAAAATAAACTTCTTTTTTCTTTTTTTTTTAAATGAGCTTTATTTTTCTGAACATGATTTTTTAAAGGACAAAACACTTCACTTTGACAATTCACAAATCATTTGCTTTCCTATTTTGATTTAAGGATGTTTAGTACAGAAAAAGAAGACAGAGATCCTAAAAAAAAAATCACCCAGACATTCATTTTGAGGGACAGTTTACTGGTGCAGCTGATATGCTTTCAGATTGCTCTCTCTAGCATTACTAATATGAACACATCTACACTTTGGCATTGTGAGTATCAACATACAGTACAGCCTACAAAATAGAGGTAAACTCTCGACATGTCAGATGGAAATAATATTTACACAAGCAGCATTCTCAGTACAAATAATTGCCAAAAATATAGAATAATAGCTAAATGGAAGTGTTTCTATGATTAAGATTGTATTGTATAAATGCAAAAAATGGTAATGTATTTGCAGAATGTTTGTTTATCCAAGTGTTTTACAGTATCCTGTAGAATATTTTGATTGCTGTCAGAAAGCTTTGTATGTATTTAGCTTTATTTTTGACTTGTTTTCCAGCACAAATATATGACCATTCTTAAATACAGGACTCAATTCTGACACATTTTAAGTGGAAAAACATTACTAAACATCTGTCAACGTTGTAAGAAAAACTTAATTTATTCATTCATTCTCCTTTGGATTAGTCCCTAATTTTTCTGGGGATCGCCACAGTGGAATGAACCATCAACTATTCCAGTATATGTATTACGCAGCGGATACCCTTCCAGCCGCAACCCAGTACTGGGAAACACCCATACCCATTTACATTCACACACATTTCGATACAATACGGCCAATTTAGTTGATTCAATTCCCCTGTACTGCATGTGTTTGGACTGTGAGGGAAACCGGAGCACCCAGAGGAAACCCACGCCAACACGGAGAGAACATACAAACTCCACACAGAAATGCCAACTGGCAAACCAGACTCAAACCAGCAACTTCTTGCCGTGAGGTGACCACTGAGCCACTGTGTCGCCCAACTTTGACACATTTTGCCTCTCGATATTTTAAGAATGCATATATATTTATACTAAAAAGCAAAACAAACGGGCTAATTTGTATGAGCAGTTTTCGTATTTCCATGATACACCATCCAGAAATTATTAATAAAAAACAGTAACGCATGCAATTTAATGTGATTTCATTTAATGGCTATTCATAACACAGTTCTATAGATGAATTGCTTACATACTGTACACCTGACAAAAGTGCTGCCCTCGATCCCAGTTGTAAGAGCAACAAATAATAACTTGACTTCTAGTTGATCATGTGGAAAAGTAACAGGTGGATTTTTCAGATGAATCATCTATTGAGCTGCATCCCAGTCATCACCAATACTGCAGAAGACCTCCTGGAACCAGCATGGACACAAGATTCTCACAGAAATCAGTCAAGTTTGGTAAAGGAAAAATTATAGTTTGGGGTTACATTCAGTATGGGGGCGTGTGAGAGATCTGCAGAGTGGCAACATCAACAGCCTGAGGTATCAAGACATTTGTGCTGCCCATTACATTACAAACCACAGGAGAGGGCAAATTCTCCAGCAGGATAGCGCTCCTTCTCATACTTCAGCCTCCACATCAAAGCTCCTGAAAGCAAAGAAGGTCAAGGTGCTCCAGGATTGGCCAGCCCTGTCACCAGACATGAATATTAATGAGCATGTCTGGGTTAAGATGAAGGAGGAGGCATTGAAGATGAATGCAAAGAGTCTTGATGAACTCTGGGAGTCCTGCAAGATCGCTTTCTTTGCCATTCCAGATGACTTTATTAATAAGTGATTTGAGTCAGTGCAGAGATGTATGGATGCAGTCCTCCAAGCTCATGATGGAGTCAGACACAATATTCATTCTGTCTCCACTGCAGCATGACTTTATATTCTATACTTGACATTATTTCTGTTCAGTGACAATTTGTTTGTCTTAGCAAATTCATGCCTTACTGTCCTAAAAAAATAATTAAAACTCAAGACATGATCATATATTATTGTGGTAAAATAAGCGTAATCTAGAGGCCTTTGCCATCATATAAGCCACTTCTGATGCCAAACGATCAACTAAAAGTCGAGTTATTATTTGTTATTTCTAAATCTTGTATAGGTGACAAGACTTTTGTCAGGTAGTGTATACAGTATATTGTTATTTGTTTAAAATGTACCTACCTAGTGAAATATAAGTTGAGCAGGAACACTTTTTTGAAAAAATACAAAACATATAAAACACTTCTGAGAGCATTTGAAAAGAAAAGTTTAAAATGATTTCAGATTTCGCCACGTTTTCTCCTCATCTTTACACACAACAATCAATGTCTGCCTTATTTGCTGGTTTTACTATTACTTATATACAGGCTTTACATCTAGAAGCTACAGGCTTAGCATTGTGATATACTTTAAAAATATAGAAACACAAGACGAGACTGGGAGGTGAGGTGTTGAATGCAACATAGGCTCATTCTGAAATCTTACCCCTATATACATTTCTGGAGATCAGAAGTACGCATGGCTGCATTTTGTCTTTAAAACGACCACTACGGGGCAGTATGCCAGTTCTTTTTGCACTACCAGCTGACCGATTAAGTCTGGTTTATACTTCTGCGTCAAATGACCAGCGTAACCCACGGCGCATGCAACGCGCGTAGCTGTGCATTTATACTTCTGTCTCTGTGGGTCTGCATTAACACTTCTGAAACGCTAGTTGGCAGTGAGGTGTAAATGTTCCTCTGTGTCGAGTTTCTTCGCTGCTGTTTTGCTTTTCCTGAACACTTCCGGGATGCACAAGTGGCTCAAACTCGCTCATTTTGAGGCAGGAAACGGCAGACGTGCAACAACTTTAACTATGAGGTAAACACAAAACAAAACTTTCCATCTGGAGCTCCTTCAAGGGACTCCACTCTTGTAAACAATCGCTCCATCAGGCTAGCACCATTCACGCAGCTCTCGGTCCCGCCCAGACTCGTCAGCGCTAACAAGCCGACCAATCACAGAGCTTGCGCTACGAGTCATTGCGACATGTAGTTACATTTTTTGAGAGGTGCACTTCAGCGACGCCGACGGCCACGGCAAAGGGCTATTCGTCAGCGCCGTAGCATACGCCCACGTTTGACACAGAAGTATAAATCAGCCTTTACCTCCGTATAAACGACTTTCCTGCTGTTACCTGTTTGCCCAGTGGTTTGTCGCGTACTTCAAAGGATTTGAAGCTCAGAGAGGAGTTGACCTTGACGAAGGACTTTGAGGCCAACGAAGAACGGTTTCAGAAAGCAGGTAAAACAAAAGGGGAAAATAAATAAAACAAGCAAAGTAAATAACAGAGTGAGGATGTGGTCAAATCTAAAAATGTGGTAAAAATCAGGCAGCCGCTGCACTGCTTTTGAAAACACTGTGAGTTGGGTTTGGATGGTACCGGTCAGTCAGTCGACAGCAGCCTCTGGTGGATTTACATGAGAACAGCAAGCACGAATGGCACTCAAGAGAGAAATTGGAGATATGAAAAAGGGTAAACAGCGCCCTCTGGTGGATTCTCGAAAAAACATTACTCCTGGGGCGTATTTGGCGCTCTCCATAAATGTATATAGGAGTACATAATCAGAACGAGCCTTGTGTTATAGGTGTTTATATGGGTGCGATTACTTTGTTAACTAGACATACTTAAAGGACAAAATTGTCGGAAAAGTTGTTCATTAAAGTAACACAAATGTGAAAGTTTTTCAGTGTAAGAAGTAAGGTTAGGAATTTGTGTACATGTTAGTCTCAAGCGATTATAATATGCACTATTTATAGCTGTGGGGACAGTTCAGCTCAAAAATAAAATTTCTCTTTCCTTTTAATTTTTTATGAACTGTTCCCATGAAAACAATAACAGAATTCTATAAAGCTAGATACTGTGTGTGTGTGTGTGTGTGTGTGTGTGTGTGTGTGTGTGTGTGTGTGTGTGTGTGTGAAAACACAGTGAATCAGAAAAAGCTAGATCCTCATGTCTCCTCTTCTTTCCATCAATCCTCCTTGTGCGTTCTGCTGGAGAAAATAACAAAAAGCAGAATTATTTCATTTTATTTTTAGCTTTTTGTTAATGTTAAGTTTATTTTTAGTTCATGTTAGATATCTAAAGGCTATTTATTATTATTATTTATTATTATTTGCAATATTAATAAGTATTATAATTAAATAACTAAAATAATAATAATATAATAATAATACAAATAACAATAATAATTATTATTATTGTTCCATTATTGTATTGTTATTATTATTGTAATTTTATCATTATTATTACGTAGTATTATTATTTGCATAAGCAATATAATTAATAATTAAATAGTCATAATATAAATAATAAGAATTGTTATTATTATTATTATTATTATTATTAGAAGGAGTAGTAGTATTATATAGTATTATTTTTTGCAATATTAATAAGTATTATAATTAATAATTAAATAATAATAATAATAATATAATAATAATATAAATAATAATAATATATTAGATTAGATTCAACTTTATTGTCATTACGCATGTACAATAATAATAATAATAATAATAATAATTGTAATATAGTAATAATAGTTATTGTTATATTATTATTATTATTATTAATAATAATAATAATATTACTATTTTACTACAATTTTGTAGCATGGTAGAGGTTTAAAGTTGTGCAAATCACAAAATATGCAAAGCTAATCTACTGATATTTCAGTTTTAGATGAGAACATGTTTTTATAGTGAAAATCTCAGCTGAAGAGCTCGGCGGTATAATAAATGTGTATATTGTGCAATGCAATTTAAGTATATGGTGTTTTACACAGTACTAATAATGCATCAGCTTGCAATGACCCCAAGTCAATAGTTTCACATTGCACCAACATTGCCAATTTCTATATGGATTCGTTGTGCATGTTAAAATAAAACCCACAAGCTTTAACTTGGCTTTTTTGCCAGATATTTTTGTCACTTAACTTACCCACATTTAATGTTTTCCTCGCAGCAATGTAACATGTTATGCACATGTGACCCTGGACCACAAATCCAGTCATACTGTAAGTGTCAATGTTTTGAGATTAACATTCATACATCACAGCTGAATAAATAGGCTTTTCATTGCTGTATGGTATGTTAGGATACACTGTAAAAATCTGTTATTTAACAGTTTGCGTATTTTGTTTTTCATTTATGTACGGTTGTGAATTGCATTATGAAATGTTGATCTCTGCTTGAAAATTCAACTTAACAGTTTAACAAAGTGATTTTCATTGACATTTTATATTTATTAGTATGAAATAATATTAAAAAGGTTTTTGTAGAGTAAGATACAACACCAACACAGACTTTTTCAAACTTTAAGGTCGGGTTGGGAAGGCACTGATCAACTCTCAGCTTTAATGGAAATAAGAGAATTGTGACATTTTTATATTGATTTCAACATGCTTTCAAGATTAAAATATGAGAGAAATTTGGGAAAATACTTTTAAATGGGATACAATGGTAAAATACGTGAGAATCCTGGCCAAAAAAAGGGTTGTCATGTATGAAGTGAAGTGTTTGTCGAACAACAGTACAAAACATATTTGTGAGATAACGCACAACATCTTCGCGAGGGAACGCAAAACACTCAGGTTTTTTACTCCCACCCATTTTTTTTTCTTCCACCCATTTTTTTTCCATCATCACGTCCCTTTCGGGTTTCCTTAAAAATGCCTCTGATTGAAGAGGAAAAGGTAATTTGGCTAACATGTTTGTTAGATGTTGTTGGAACTTGAATATATTGATGCAAACGGTTGCCTTATTATTATTATTATTTTTTGTTTGTTTGGTCCAAACAATATTTAGAGTGTTTTTTGTGCTATTTTTTAGTGTAGAATTTTTAAAATCCATTTTAAGCTCAATATTACTAGCCCCCTTGAGCAATATTTGGTTTCGATTGTCTACAGAACAAACCATCATTATACATTCATTTGCCTATTTACCCTAACCTGTCTAATTACCCTAGTTAATCCTTTAAATGTTACTTTAAGCTGTATAGAAGTGTCTTGAAAAATATCTTGTAAAATAATATTTACTGTCATCATGACAAAGATAAAAGAAATCAGTTACTAGAAATGAGTTATTTGCACATTTTGGATGCTGCTAGGAGACCCGTTTGTATTGGGACCTGGTATATTTATTAGGGTCTCCTAATATATATATATATATATATATATATATATATATATATATATATATATATATATATATATATATATATATATATATATATATATATATTAGGGATGTAACGGTATCAGAATTTCACGGTACGGTAATACCTCGGTATGAATGTCACCGTACGGTATTTATTGAATCATTTACAGGAAAAACAAAACTTATGAAAATACTCCAAAAAAGTGCCAAAAGTGTCAATGACATACAAATTAGCCATCTATCTGTAAGCTTTGAAACAGGAACTTCAATTTTAATAACAAAAATTATTAAACCATGTAAAAAAAATAAAGTTTCAATTTAGTATTGTTGAAAACTCGTCACATTCAACATTTAATCACTCACTCACTTAGATAGAGATGGGCTTTAAGGAAAATTATCATATAACTATAATCTGGTAAAAGCTGGTATCTCTGGGTACTTACAATGTCCCCTGCAACAGAAAAAAACCCTCTCATTTGGGACTGAGGTTTCTGGGACAAGAGAGATATGACTTGGCCCAGGTTGACAGCAACATGACAGTTTAAAGAATCACACACCAGACGCGCACATTTGAAGGATTTTTAACATGAAACTAATCAGATGGCGCTCTGTGGCTGAAAAATGAACTGCGTCCTGAGCCGTCGCCAGGCGCCGCCGACAGCCGCCGACTTGCGGTGCCGGTGTGTGTATCCTGATAGAAACCTATGTTTAGAATTCTAAAATACATGGCGCTGCGTGGCTTCTGGTGTGCGACCTGCTTTACAGTACGCGCGCGGCGACAACACCCGCTTTAGGTTTCGATCATCTCCAGCTCTTTTTCATCCCCGCTACTAGAAGCACACTCCATTTCCGCATTACTGGATCTGTAGTGACAACAGACCGCAAAGGATTATGGCCACGCCTGGGCTGATGGGAAATGTAGTTTCAGCTACCTCCCGTTCGCTTCATTCGCCTGAGCAAATTTTCTCAGAAGACCTATAGTTTTACCGAGTCATGCGACTACGGTAATATCGAAAAAAATTAATATTGCGGTATGACGGTATTTACAATACCGTTACATCCCTAATATATATATATATATATATATATATATATATATATATATATTTTAGGAGACCCGTTTGTATTCGGACCTGGTGTGAAGATGTGTGAGTGGATTCAAATAAGTATTATGATTGGAAGACAAATTATTATGATGGGATGGCGTTCAGTAGGTCCACCATCATTTCAAGAATGGGTTACAGAACTGGGGAAGGTGGCAGCATATGAAAAATGACATATGGAATACTAGATAAATTGGATGTTTATCAGAGAAGATGGGGAAATTACTTGGCATTTTTGAAGAAGGAACAAGGTCATTGTGGTGAGACGCACACCAAAAATGTAAATATTTATTTATTTATTTATTTATTTATTTATTTATTTATTTATTTATTTATTTATTTATTTTATTTTGTTTTATTTATTTATTTTATTATTATTGTTTATGTTTTATTGTATTGTTACTGTTCCTATGGAGTTTAGTAATAAGTATTTGTGTTTACTGGGTCTATGATAGCAGTACTCAATGACAGTACTGCCACTGTAGGGGAGGGGAGGGGAGGGATAAGGGGATGTTAAAAGAAGGTTAAATGTGTAAAATAATTGTATAGTGAAATTATTGAAGAAAAACAAAACAAAAATTCATCATAAAAAAATAATAACAACAACAACAATAATAATAATAACAATAACAACAACAACAACAACAATAATAATAATAATAATAATAATAATAATAATAATAATAATAACAATAATAATAATAATAATAATAATAATAATAATAATAACAATAATAATAATTATAATAGTCCATGTTCAGTTGTGTTAATCAGGCAGCAGACTGGACACATTCACACTTTACAAGCTCTCAGTTGATTAGACATTTTTGTAGTCTGTCTAGAAAAACAAACACAACAACAGCAACAAAAGACGATCATCACATGCTGTCTATCTTTGTCTGACACTTGCAGAGAGATGTGAATGATTTATTGTTTTCCACTGACTAACGGCATGGAAAATGCTGGGGTGAATTCCAACATTCTTGGAGAGACACATAATGGTAAATGTCTCTTCCAGATGGATTACGATCAAATCCGTCAAACGCTGCCAATTTGGTAATAAAATAGTTGTTGCCATGCAAAGAAATGACAGAGATGAGATCCTGTAGTGACGTGGACACTGTTTTGAGAACAGACTGATGCGCTTACCATTGGGGATCATCAGCTTTCAGCTCAGGGAACCGGGCTAAGAAAAGAGAAGTAATCAATTATTACATCGAAATGTGTTAAAGGAGAACAAAAATGACTCATATGTAATATGATTGTATATAAAACCTTCATGATTAGAGTAAACATTTTAAAGCAAAGATAGACTGTATACTGTTAAGGAAGTATATTATCAAATAATGCATTAATACAACCCAAAATCAGAAAAAGTTGGGACAGTATGGAAAACTCAAATACATAAAGTATCAGGGCCGGAGTGGGACTCTTTTTCAGCCCTGGAGTTTCAAGCCTCAGACCAGCCCACCTCAGTTCACGACTGACTATATTAAAAGAAGGTCATTTCCAATACAGTTTCTAATTACACTATCACGTCTTTTTTTTGAGAAAACAGCTGCTTTAGATCTTTAAATGTTCAACAACCCTAACAGTATTATATGTCTTAGCAATAAAAATGAAAAAAAAAAAAATGACCCCAAAAAAACCTTACTCAAATAGGATCAAATCTGGGTCGGCGGCGTCATAATCTAATGTGCTAACCACTGGACCACATCAGTTGTATATTAAAAAGTTGACTCATCTGAGTTTTAACATCATTACCCTGCAGGCTGGTTATAGAGCTGCGGTAAAATAATGAATAAAAAGACTGTGGTCAAGTAAATAGATAAATTAGTTTAAAAAGTGTGACTGGTAAGAGCAACAGATTCTGGAGCTAGGGACACCGGCCATCGCGGCCAAAAAACGGACCTGCCTACCGGGAACTCTCCCGGTCCTCCCGATTAGCCAATCCGGGCCTGTAAAGTAGTGATTTCCAAATTTACTTTGACTTGTATTTCATTGTAGACAATATGAACACAAAATATTTCCTGTTTTGTCTGGTCAACTTCATTTCATTTGTAAGTATACATCCTTTCCTGTCATTCAGACCTGCAACATATTCCAAAATAAGTTGGGACAGGAGCAGTTTAGGGCTGGCAATCAGGTACACTGGTTAAATAATGATGTGATCTGAAAAGTCAACAGGTGATTGTTTTATGATTTGGTACAAAAGCAGCATCCAAGAAAGGTCTAGTCCTTTAGGAGCAAAGATGATCTGAGGAACGCCAGTTTGATAACAAATACATGAGAAAACTATTGAAATGTTTTAAAATAAAGTTCCTCAAAAATAGAGAGGAAGACATTTGGATATGTCACCTTCAACAGTGCAGAACATCACTAAAAGATTCAAGGAATCTGGAGGAATTTTCTGTGTGTAAAGGACAAGGGGTGCAAAGCCTAAGCTGAACGGTGATCTCCGATCCCTCAGGCAGCACTGCATCAAGAATCCACATTCATCTATAAGCCATATCACCACATGGGCTCAGGAATACTTTGGCAAACCTTTGTCATGTATTACAATATGTAGTTTACAATATGTAGATTAGAATGGCTGCATCATTATCCATTTTTAAATCACTTCTTAAAACCTACCTTTTTAGCTTGGCTTTTTAAGATTATTTTAATAGTTCATTCTACCGCAATTATTATTTTTTTTTACATTTTTACAGATGTTTCTCTTGCTTTATTTCTATGTTTTTGTATTCTGTCTTTTATTTTTTACCCTGTCAGCACTTTGGTCAGTCTTGTGACTGACTTTTAAGTGAAGTTTATTTATAAACAAATTTCGAGAGGATCACATGCTTATGATTGTTCACAGCTGTTCCAACTTTAGCCAATGACTGATTATCCTATCAGACGATTCTTAACTCACTATAATAACCAGACTTTTCTCATCTCAATATCTCCGTCTTGAAGAAACCCCCCCACCCAACCCTACTTTCCCTCCTTTCAAACGGGCGTCACGGTGGCCAGAGATTAGTGCTGTTGCTTCACAGCAAGAATGCCCCTGTTTTGAAAGTTTAATTCCTTTCAAAACCAGACGGCATTTCTGTGCGGAGTTTGCTCGTTCTCCCCGTGGTCGCGTGGGTTTTCCCCGGGTCCTCCGGTTTCCTCCCACAGTTCAAAAACAAGCACTCTAAACAATTAATCCAAATTCTTTAGCTAAACTCTGAGTACACCTTTCAGCATCCATATCTGACACTTAGCTACAACAAGCAAGAGGGGGAGTCATCGAGATCTACCTGAGCTTTGCTTCCCGCCTTGCAACGGGAGGGAGCCCAGGGCTCGAGGATCTTATAAGCTCAGGGCTCTCTTCCGGGACAGCACGCCAAACTAGCTTTACTATCAATCATCAGCTAAGTGTGAACTCCTGAAATGTGCTTTATAAATAAACGAACTTGAACTTGAATGTAGTTACATCCACAAATGCCAGTTAAAACTGTACTGAGCCAAAAGAAAGCCCTATGTTAACATTGTCCAGAAGCATTGTCAACTTCTTTGGTCTCTGAGGCATCTGGGATGGACCATCACACAGTGGAAACGTGTACTGTGTATTTCAGGTATCTTTTAGGGAGAAATGGACGCTATGTGCTCTGGACTAAGAAGAAAAGGATCATCCAGACTATTACCAGCAAAGTCAGTCCAAAAGCCAGTCTCTGTCATGGTATGGGGTTGTGTCAGTGCCCTTGGTAAAGGTAACTAGCACTTCTGTGATGCACCATTAATGCTGAAAAGCACATAACGATTTTGGAGCACAATATGCTGCCTTCTTTTCCAGGGACACCCATGCATATTTCATCCAGACAATGTAAAAAAACATTCTGCCCACATTACAAAGTCCTGGCTGCGAAGGAAGAGGATACAGGTACTTGACTGTCCTGCCTGCAGTCCCGACCTGTCTTCAGTAGAGAATGTGTGGTACATTTTGAAGCGCAAAATGCAACAACGAAGACCCCGCACTGTTGCCCACCTTAAGACTTGTTTGCAGTAATAATGGGACACAATTACACCTGAAAGACTTAATCAGCCGGTGTTTTTATATTTGATTGTATCATATGGAAGTGAATAAGAACCTTTTGGTGTTTGGATCATTTTTAGAGTTGATGGTATTCCAAGTACTTCCAAAGGAGCCTTTGGACATCTCATCAGTAATGTTGACAGTAGAAGGATCATCTCTGAAAATATTCAACAAAAACATCATCAACATAACATTGACATTAATATTCCCATATGCACTGTGAAATAAAATAGTAGCTACTTGCTAATACTTTATGTTGAATTAGTTTTACTTCACAGGTCATGTGATGTAATGTAATGTATTTTTTATTTAGTTCCATGTCAGCAACCAAGGCTATCTTCATGGCAGGAATCTTTCAACAATAAATATACAATTTAAAAATTAACAAACAAAATAAAACATAAATTAAATAAGATTTTTTGTGTTAATACATGATAAAAATTCTAAAATCTTTTCTGGTTTCACTTTGTCAAAAATGTCCTTAAAAGAGTTCATTTCATAAAAAGTCCTTCTGGAATCAGTAAAAGCAGGACAGTCCAGTAAAATATGTTTTACAGTAAGAGGAGTTTTGCAGCACAAACACTGAGTAGGGTTTTCACCTTGGAGCAAAAAACCATGTGTAATTCTCGTATGCCCAATACGACATCTGGTAAAAACTACTTGATCAAATCGATTCTTAAAATGTCTTCAAATTCTGTGTGAAGCTTCAGGTTGGATTTCATGTAGTTTATTGTTTTCTAATGCATCCCATTCCTTTTGCCACTTGTTTAAAATGTAAGCATTGATAAAAGGTTTCATCTCTGACGGAGGAATTTGGCATTTGTTCACTACTTGCTTCAAAGCATCTTTAGCAGCTGCATCAGCTGCTATGTGAACTTACAGCAACTAAACGGATTTAACTAAATTCTGTTTCGTGCATCTTATAAAATAAAAACTTAATGAACTTTTTAAAATGCATTATAGTTAAATGAAAACACTTGTGACATTTTGATTATATATTCTATTACAGTGTGTGTGTCGAAACAATAATCAGTACAGACATTTGATGTAGGTTTCACAGATGTATCTTTCTACAGTACCTTGATGCCTAAATAATATTTTCAAGTATACTATCTTACATTTGGATCTATTTTCGTGTATATATTGCACTGTAAAAATGATTAGTTGACTACTTAAAGTAAGGCAATTGTCAACAAATACATACAGTATGCCATCAGATGGTTCTTGTTTTAAATATACCTGACTGTATTTATGATGTCAAATTATTGTTACTGAACACTAACATTTTAGTGGCTGTCTCCAGTAAAAACGTATTATTAAAAAAAAAAACATTTATTTAAAAAATAATCAACAAATATAATTTCCACCATCAAAATATATAGCCCCAACAGCACACAGGAGTTAATCTAACTAACCTTTTCACATAATTAAGTCTTTAAATTGCACTTTTAACTGAATACGAATATCTTACGGATAATAATTAGTAAAATAATATGTACTGTCATCATGGCAAAGACAAAAGAAATCAATTATGTTTACATTTTTTAAAAGTCTCCCTGTTAAACAGCACTTGGGAAGTGTATATACAGCTGAAACCAAAAGTTTACATACACTGTATAAAAAGGCACATAACCATATTATAAGTCAGATGTTAATGTGACTAAAGTTTTTTCTCTTTCAGGTAAGTGTGGATTATCAAATTTGTTTCTATTATGCTTAATAGCAATAAAATGAGATTATTTTTTTTGAGAAATTGTTAGAACTTTTCTTGAAAGTCAAGTTTATATACAATAAGATTCTGCCTCTGGAAAAGCTCAGATGATGGTGTCAAGGTTTTGGAAGTTTCTGATTGGCTGATTGAGGACATTTGAGGAACTAAGATTGAACTGTTTGGCCATAATGACCAGTGTTACATTTGGAGGACAAAGGGGAAAGCTTACAAGCCTACGAACACCATCCCAACTGTGAAGTATGGGGGCGGCAGCATCATGTTGTGGGGCTGTTTTGCTGCAGGAGGGACTGGTCCACTTCACAGCATAGATGGCATCATGAGGAAAGAACATTATGTAGAAATACTGAAGCATATTGCCAAATTAGTTTAAATGTGCTTTAAGGACAACAGAGTGAATGTTTTGGAGTGGCCATCACAAAGCCCTGATCTCAATCCTATAGAAAATTTGTAGGCAGAGTTGAAAAAGCTTGTGCGAGCAAGACAGCCTACAAATCTGACTCAGTTACACCAATTCTGTCAGGAGGAATTGGCTAAAATTCCTTTAAACTATTGTGAGAAGCTTGTGGAAGGATAGTCATTTGACCAAAGATATGCAGTTTAAAAGCAAAGCTAAAAACATACCAAGAAAATGTGAGAAAACTTTTGACTTTCTTGAAATAAATACAAATCCTCAAAAAAAAAGAAAAAAAAATCTCTCATTATTCTGGCATTTAGCAAATGTAAATGATTTAGGTAATCATCAAGGACCTAAAATAGTAAACGTTTAATATGATTTACCATCAGATATTTTTAAAGAAATGGTTATGTTCCTTTTTTTAGAGTGTATGTAAACTTCTGGTTTCATCTGTATAAACATTTCTCATCAATTATATTTAAAGGTCCACATTTAGTAAAATAATTTAATTTTGATTCTGATCTAAAAACAAATAAGCATGCAATGATGTTGAGTACAGAATAAAAACGTATGAGCTTCGGAATGTTTAATAAACCAACAAAAATCTAGTATTGCTATTGTGAGTTAAGTAAAATGAAGTCCATACTTGTAATGTCCCTCCAATGGCACTTGAACGATTCCTTCTTCCTCTGCCAAAATACTTTGCTCCTCCTGGCAGAAAACACAGGGAGAAGCAGCGAGTTTTATTCCCGTCCAGCCAAAGAGAACTTCAGGGACCCTTTGAGATTAAATAACTTTTGCTGAAGGACATTTTGGCAGATCGATTCATGTTCCATTTGCTTGGCATGAAATGAATGCATTGAGACACTGAGGTGGGTGAATCGGGGGGTCTGCCTATAAGAAACGTATCTCGTGGCAATTTCAGCAGCAGTAAAAACATGAGAGGATGTGCCAGAGGGTCAGAAAAGTCTCTCGATGCAGGAAAAACAAACTGCACAAGAAAAAAAAACTGGAGCATCTCCTCATTAAAGCAGGACCTCTCAAAAAACTCCCTTTCATTCAGCATATATATAAATAAACTCAGTCATGCTGCATTCGGTTATTAGGACATTGTCTTCCAAATACTAATTACTGCTGTTATTAAAGGTCTGAATAGTGTAGTTTTTTTGTGCAGATGCCTATTATTTTCCCCTTTAAAATGTCTTCTTTGAAGCAGCTCTCAGTTTGTCGCTGTGCGGTCACTGTGTTTTGCATGGAGGTTATTTCAGAGGCGAAATTTAATAATCCCAATTATGTGATGGATTAGTGCTGCCTAGCAACCACAGACCAAAAATGTGAAATATAAGCACTCTCTCTCTCTCTCTGGTTTGAGTGATGGATCGGAAATTCTGTGTAAAATGATAATGTGTTTACAGTTCCTTGGCTAGAAATATATACATATAATATAATAAGAACTACATGTAACTGATGCCCATATGTCTAAGCTTGCTGTTTGGACACACAGCTCACCGGCCACTTTATTAGGTACACCTTATTAGTAATGGGGTTGGCCTCCCTTTTGCCTTCAGAACTGCCTTAATCCTTCATGACATACTGTAGATTCAACAAGGTACTGGAAATATTCCTCAAAGGTTTTGGTCCATTTTGATATGATAGCTTCACTGCAGATTTGTCGGCTGCACATCCATAATGTGAATCTCCCGTTCTACCACATCCCAAAGGTGCTCTATTGGAATGAGAACTGGTGACTTTGGAGGCCATTTGAGTACAGTGAACTCATTGTTATGTTCAAGAAACCAGTCTGAGATGATTCCCTCTTTATGACATGGTGCGTTATCCTGCTGGAAGTAGCCATCAGAAGATGAGTACACTGTGCTCATAAAGGGATGGACATGGTCAGCAACAATACTCAGGTAGGCTGTGGTGTTGACACAATGCTTAATTGGTACTAATGGGCCCAAAGTGTACCAAGAAAATATCCCCCACACCATTACACCACCACCAGTCTGAACCGATGATACAAGGCAGGATGGATCCATGCTTTCATGTTGTTAATAGCAAATTCTGACCCGACCATCCGAATGTGGCAGCAGAAATGGAGACTCATCAGACCAGACAACGTTTCTCCAATCTCCTATTGTCCAGTTTTGGTGAGCCTGTGCGAATTGTAGCCTCAGTTTTCGATTCTTAGCTGACAGGAGTGGCGCCCGGTGTGGTCTTCTGCTGCTGTAGCCCATCTGCCTCAAGGTTGGACATGTTGTGTGTTCAGAGATGCTCCTCTGTTGACTTCGGTTGTAACAAACCAGTCTGGCCATTCTCCTCTGACCTCTGGCATCAAGGCGGCATTCGTGCCCACAGAACTGCCGCTCACTGGATATAATCTCTTTTTCAGACCATTCTCTGTAAACCCTAGAGATGGTTGTGCGTGAAAATCCCAGTAGATCAGCAGTTTCTGAAATACTCAGACCAGCCCGTCTGGCACCAACAACCATGCCACGTTCAAAGTCACTTAAATCCCCTTTCTTCTCCATTCTGATGCTCGCTTTGAACTGCAGCAGATCATCTTGACCATGTCTGAATGCCTTAATGCATTGAGTTGCTGCCATGGGATTGGCTGATTAGAAATTTGCATTCATGAGCAGTTAGGCAGGTGTACCTAATAAAGTGGCCGGCGAGTGTATATTTTATAATTGTGATACAAAAGTGTATGGAACTTTACAATATATAGTAAAATATGGTAATTACATAAGTTCAAGTTTGAATTTAACATAAATAAAATGGTCACACTTTACAATAAGGTTCATTAGTTAATGTTAAGTAATGCATTTACTAACATGAACAAACAATGAACAATACATCTACTACAGTATTTATTCATGTTAATAAACGTTAGTTGATGAAAATACAGTTGTTCATTGTTAGTTCATGTTAACTCATGGTGCATTAACTAATGTTAACAAGCATGAGTTTAAATGTTAATAATGCATTATTTAGTAAATGTTCAATTATGATTAATAAATGCTGTACATGTGTTGTTCATGATTAGTTCATGTTAGTAAATGCATTAACTAATGAACCTTATTGTAAAGTGTTACCAATAAAATGTATATATATATCATACAGTATATGCACATATATTTTTTTCTAAATATTGATATTTTAAAAAGTTTAGATATTTATTTTGCTCCATTTTATTTACAAATATGTACATATGTTTAAATCTAATAGCTATAATTGTATATGTACAGGGTTTCTTTTAGACCAGTGGTCACCAAACTTGTTCCTGGAGGGCCGGTGTCCTGCAGATTTTAGTTTCAACCCTAATTAAGCACACCTGAACAAGCTAATCAAGGTCTTACTAGGTGTACTTGAAACACCCAGACAGGTGTGTTGAGGCAAGTTGGAGCTAAACCCTGCAGGGACACCGGCCCTCCAGGATCGAGATTTGACCCCTGTTTTAGACCTTTTAAGACCTTTTTAAACCAACTAAACAAAATTTTAACTGAAGGGATAACAATAAAGCAATAAACATATATATATATATATACTCATTCATTTTCCTTCAGCTTAGTCCCATATTTATCAGGGGTCACCATAGCAGAATGAACCGCCAACTATTCCAGCAAATGTTTTACACGGTGCATGCCCTTCCAGCCGCAACCCAGTACTGAATGAAAGACCAAAACAACATTTCAGATGTTTTATAATGTGCTTAGCCTGATGGTTTGTCCAATCACACACATTTTTATCATCACATAATCTCATAGGAGAATCACATAACCTTTTTTAATGCGCATGCTTGAGTTTGTACGGTAAAAGTGTTTCCATCGTAGTTTGTGCGCATCTTTTCTTATCAAATAAATAGTCGATCCTACTTTTTAATCCACATTTTCGAAATGTATGCGCATTTTGGGATTTCCATCAACTGGTTTTTTATGCAAATATGCAAAATGCGCATAAAAATAGGAGAATGGAAACATAGCTAGTGTTATTTTGGGGGTCGCGGGCTGACAATTTTGGGGACCCCTGATCTAAATGATCATGTCCTTAAATTTAGATGGCTCACAGATGGAAACTTTTGCCTCTTTTCAGTAAACTGCTTGTCACTTAATCACTTTGTGCTCTATTTTAACAATCTACTGCACAAAAGCATTAAGGGTGTATCTACATTTTGCTATTTTGGGCATGGAAAAATATGGTATGTCTAACAGGGTTGTGCTTATTCTCTTAATGAGTTCTGGGTGTGTTTTGAGCATAACGCAACTTAAACCAATCAGAGTCTCATCCCCCATTCCTTTTAGAATGTCAGTTGCGTCACACTATGGCACATTTGCCATTTACACTTTGAAAGTGGAAAAACTGAACGCTTTACTAGCAAGAAGACAACAAACCATCTGCAGCGCGAGGATAAAGAACGAGCCTCCTCTATTCAGTAGCTTTACTTTTACTCTTTACTTTACTCCTTTACTTGTGTGGATAAACAGTGTTGTCCTCACTTCACTGAAGACATCCATTAGCCTACATATTTAATTTTGTTTGTTAAGCGCAATGATTTGTTTCAAAACTATTTCTAAATTCAGTTCTAATTTACAGCAAACGAATAAATGAACAATAATAATGAAGTGTGCTCAAACAAATGAGTTATATCCAAACACACATCCCGTTCTTAGGCCCTATATGGTGATGCAGACGTCTCCAAAACCCGACATGTGGACAAATCTAAGCTTGTTTTTAATAAAACAAATAAAAATATGCATTTAATAAATAATACTGCTAATAATAATAACATTATACAAACTATAAAAGCCCCCCAAGATGAAGAAGACATGGAGGCGGTGTTTTTTTATTTATGTAGGCTGGAAAATAATGTTTTGTAATATTTTATTTCATTAATTCTTTTTCATTTGTAAAGATATTTGCGTATTGCTGTACATCCTGTGTGTATTAAGTAGTGTGTAAGCGAGGCGCACAGCTAAAGTGCTCTGCGCTGGACTTTAGACCAGCTTTGATCTGGTCTATTGAAAAATCTATTATAGTTCTCAAAATAGCAATGCGCCTCAACACGCCTCCTTTTTTAGACCAGAACGCCTATGGGCGCATATAAGCGCAAATACATTTGCTATTTAAAGAGCGTGGCGCAAAACGTCAAAACGACTCTTGCGCCGAGCTGAAACTAGCAAACAACAATTGCATCTCACCTTGCGCCGGGTGTATGTTAGGGTCCCTATTAGTTTATCATCTATATATAGTCATTTTGATGTCTGTGCATTTCTTTAGCTCTTTCCTCTCCGCTCAGATCTCGTAAATTGCTGCCTGCATCTAAAAGACGCATGTGTGTCAGTATTAGTGGATGTTGCGTTTGAGGGATGAATAAATCTGACCTCTCGCTCGGCGTCCTCCAGCTTCTTCTTTTTGCTCTCGGGCATCAGGTCATCCAGCCAGCTGAGCTCTCGCTTGGTGAAGATGAAATCCAGCAGCTTCCTAATAAACACCAGCGCCAGCACCTGCCGAGCAGATCACTAATTCAATTATCACATATTACCACACTGACAGAAGTGGAAACAATTAAGAAACGCTTTCAGACACTTGCAAACAATCACTCTGTGTGCTTGACTGATTACATGTTTCAAACCTTCTCATTAGTTTTGTACCTAAATATGAATTTCTTACTGCAGTTTCAAGATATTTGTTATTATCGATGTGTTTTAGGATCCTTGCTCTTTGATTTGTTATAAATACTTTCATTCATTTTATTTATCTCTTTTTTAAATATTGTTGTATACATTCCTTTTCCTTTATGCTTTGGATGCCCTTCCAGCTGCAATATATATATATATATATATATATATATATATATATATATATATATATATATATATATATTTAAGGGTTTACAGAGAATGGTCAGAAAAGGAGAAAATATCCAGTGAGCGGCAGTTTTGGGGCAAATGCCTTGTTGATGATGCCAGAGGTCAGAGGAGAATGGCCAGACTGGTTCCAGCTGATAGAAAGGCAACAGTTACTCAAATAACCACTTGTTACAACCGAGGTCTGCAGAAGAGCATCTCTGAATGCACAACACGTCCAACCTTGAGGCGAAAGGGCTACAGCAGTAGAAGATCACACCAGGTGCCACTCCTGCCACCTAAGAACAGAAAACTGAGGCTACAATTCACACAGACTCACTAATATTGGACAACAGAAGATTGGAGAAACGTTGCCTGGTCTGATGAGTCTCCATTTCTGCTACCATGCTGGGATGGTCGGGTCAGAAATTGGCGTCAGCAACATTAAAGGCAAGGATCCAACCGCCTTGTATCAATGGTTCAGGCTGCTGGTGGGGGTGTAATGGTGTGGGGGATATTTTCTTGGCACACTTTGAGCCCATTAGTGCCAAGTGAGCATCGTGTCAATGCCACAGCCTACCTGAGTATTGTTGCTGACCATGTCCATTGCTTTATGACCACAGTGTCTCCATCTTCTGATGGCTTCTTCCAGCAGGATAACTTGCCATGTCATAAAGCATCTCAGACTGGTTTCATGAACATGACAATGAGTTCACTGTACTCAAATGGCCTCCACAGTCACCAGATCTCAATCCCATAGAGCACCTTTGGGATGTGGTGGAACGGGAGATTTGCATCATGGATGTGCAGCCGACAAATATGCAGTAACTGTGTGATGCTATCATGTCAATATGGAGCAAAATCTTTGAGGAATATTTCCAGTAGCTTGTTGAATCTACGCCACGAAGGATTCTGAAGGCAAAAGGGGGTCCAACCTGGTACTAGTAAGATGTACCTAATAAAGTGGCCGGTGAGTGTATATACAGTATATATACACCAATAGCCAACCACAATCATAAAATCAATTCTAAGACAAAATCAAGCCCCACTATACTTTTTTAAAGCCATTTCACTAACGGTTGCCAAGTTTGCCTTTTCCTGCAGAAGTGGGCTAAGTTTAAGCACTTGCAATGGGTTGTTTTTATATTCTGCGGGTAAAGATTTTAAAATATTGCATCAATTGCACAAATCTTTTTATTCTACCACATTTTTATTCTATCAATAATTAAAACTGTGCTTGATTAGTTTTCGATTGTCTACAGAACGAACCACTGTTATATAATGGCTTGCCTAAATATCCTAATTAGCCTAGTTAAGCCTTTAAATGTCACTTTAAGCTGTATAGAAGTGTCTTAAAAACATCTAGTGAAATATTATGCACTGTCATCATGGCAAAGATAAAATAAATCAGTTATTAGAGATGAGTTAATAAAACTATTATGTTTAGAAATGTGTTGAAAACAATCTTTAAGTTAAACAGAAATTGGGGAAAAATATACAGGATTCAGAAGGGCTATAATTCTGACTTCAACTGTACATATAATGGGTTTACTCTCCCTGTGTTACATGAAAAACAACATTATAATATAACATTATAGTAGTATGTCAGATGTATACCATCATGGGAAAGACGATAGCGGCTCTGGAGGTTTTGATGACCCACAGGAGGACCAGACAGCTGAGCTGGATGATGGTGAACAGGTGAACCTTTCGCAGGGGAACGTGCCTCAGGTAAATGAAGTCTGGCTGGTGTTTAGCCGGCATCCCGAACAATCTCAAACGATCGAAAAACTAAGATCACAAGAAAAAGCAGAAGTAAACATGTCAGAGCAATAGGTAAACATAGGATACACTCCTTCCTTTCTCATGCACCAGTCATAATGGTCAGAAACGCTTCCATGTTTCTACAACTACATAATCCATATCGAAAGTCTTTAATTGTCAGGATTCAGCCACTTCAGTCTTGTTCATTCTTGTTTTAGTGGCAGAGTCCAGACACTAGTCCAGTCATGTCTTGTATGTTGTGCTCGGATCAAGTTTTCTCGAATCAAGCACTCAATTCCTGTCATTGTCTGTCTTCGGGCTCTATTTTGACGATCCATGCGCAGAGCGCAAAACACAGGGCGCAAACGCTTTCAGGGCGTGTCAGAACACATTTTTGCTAATTTAAGGAGGGGGAAAATCTGCTTTGCGCCGTGGCGCATGGTTTAAAAGGGTTGAGTTTATTTTCTTAATGAGTCATAGGTGTGTTTTGAGAATAAACCAATTAGAGTCTCATCTCCCATTCCCTTTAGGAGCCAGCTGCGTCGCCCCAAGAGCGCATTCGCTATTTACAGGACGCAAAGTAAGTCTAAGTGGAGCATCTACTGCGTGAGAATGAGAGATAATGGATTACTTTCACTTTCGCTCTTGGATAGGGAAACCTTTACGCACAGACATCAATTAGAAAAACTATTTTTAACTAAAACGTTTTAAAACTATTTCTAAATTCAGTTCTAATTTCCAGCAAACGAATAAATGAACAATAATAACAAAGTGTGTTCAAAAACCTGAGTTATATCCTAAAACACAAGCTGTGCCCCATATGGTCTAAAACCTGCAGGTGGGCAAATCTAAGCTTGTTTTTAATAAAACAAATATAAATATGGATATAATAAATAATACTGCTAATAATAATAACATTATACAAAAGCAAATTGTTATGAATGAACTGAAAAAGCCTCCCGAGATGAAGAAGACATAAAAGCAGTGATTTTTCATATTTATGTAGGCTAGAAAATAATATGTTTTGTAATATTTTAATCCTTTATATTTATATTCGATATCTATTCTTATTATATCCTATATATATCCTTAATATTTACATTTTTTCATATGTAAAGATATTTGCCTGTTGCTCTCTTGGGCTTATTAGCAGTGTGTAAGCGAGGCGCAACTCTGCGCTGGACTTTAGAAAGGGTTAGTTTTGGTCTAATGAAAAATCTATTGTAGTTTCTCAAAATAGCAACGCGCCAGCAGTGCGCCTCAGAACGCCTTCCTTTTTAGACCAGAACGCCTATGGGTGCACATATGAGCGATAATGCATTTGCTATTTAAACAGCGTAGCGCAACGCCTCAAAGCTACTCTTGCGCCAAGCTGCAACTAGCAAAAAACTTTTGCGCCGCGCCTTGCGTCCCACTGCGCCGGGTGTATGATAGGGCCCTTTGTCTTTGTATCAGTGCCATCTTGGCAGCACTCGGGCCATGCATGCACTCGCATCAGGTTGGGGCACATTTAGGATGCACGCTCTATTCCTGATGTGTTTGTTATTTTCGTTCTCAGCGCTCCAGTCTTGGTTTCGGTTGGCGCTGGAATCGGAAACATGCATGGGTATGTATGTGAGTGCACTGTTAGTGTTTTCATGTATCGTGTTCTTGTGTCTTGCGTTCTGTTTGTGTTGGTGTTGTCTAAGCTCAGGGCTCTGTGTTTACATTGTGGTCACGTGCTTTAGTGTTGTTTCATGTGAACACGTGGTTAATGAGATCTCTCATTGCGTGTTCTAGTCCCGTTTTACACGAGCACATGGCTTGTGTTGTCTCTTTGTGTCATGTGCTCCTCTCTATTATCTAGTCCCACCCTCCTTGTTAACCTATTATTAGTTAATACTGTTCACCTGTCTGATTATTAATTATTTCTTCTTTATAGTCTCCCCATGTCTGCTGTTATTTGCCAGTTCGTCGTCGTTTATTCGTCTTGTCCTGTCGTGTCGTGTCCAGGCTTGTCCAGCCCTGCTTCTCCCTGCCTGCCCAGTCAAGTCTTGTTTTGGTTTGGTCTTTTGTTTTATTTTTATAAAAAATAAATACCTATTTTGTATTATATTTATTATTATATACTCCTCACTGCTTTTCCCCAACCTCAACCCTTGACATTAAATAGTTATATTTAATAGTGCCATTTCTCCAAATTTAGATTCTTTTTGTTATCGTTGTCATTATTTTTTAAGGTCACGAGAGGTTGTTTAAGCATTTCACTGAATGTCCTACTGTAAAAATAAATGTGACAAATAAAACAAATTTTGAATTTAAACAGCAAAAGATTAATCAACATTATTTATGAGAACACAAAACAAGCATTAAAATGATAAAAAACATTTCTTATTTTTAATTCATCTATTTTTTTGAGTCTTCTTCACTCAAAAATGAGTGTAAACAAACCAATTTTGGAGATTTCTTCTGGGGAACTTAATTGTTTTATGTTCAAAGCAGTTAAATTTGTTACGTTAACTTAATTGGTTTGTGTTTGGACAACATGAATGAATTGCGTGGAACCCTGCATTTTTTTACAGTTGGGAAAATTCTTATATGTAAGGTTGCTATGCATATGACAAAAAATATAATAATAGTAATAATTGTTATTATTCAATATTAATGATTATTAATTATTTTAGTCCAGTATGGCCATCATGAGCTTGGAGGACTGCATCATTCACCAAACTTGACTGATTTCTGTGAGAATCTTGGGTGCATTCAGGTTACAATAGATCTCCTGCAGTATTTGTGATGATTGTGATGCAGTTCAACAGATGATTCATCTGAAAAATCCACCTTCTGCCACTTTTCCAAATCATCTAAATTTTTAAATTATATATATATATATATATATATATATATATATATATATACACACACACACACACACACACACACACATACAAACTTTTATTTTGGATGTGATTAATCATTGACAGCACTAAAATAAACATTATTATTATTATTAATACATACATACATACATGTGTCTGTGTGTGCGTGTTAATAGCTACTAACAGTTACTAAAGTAAACATTTGTCAAAGCTAATTTTGTGATTTTTTTAAAGTAAAAAGTAAATAAATAAATAGTTTACCTGTATTCCTCTCAGTGAAGACGCACCCATGTACAGGAAAACTCCATACAGAACCGGCATTGGAATGAACTGAGGGAACACAATTAACATTTTATTATGATATCCTCCTCCAATAACTAATATAGTAACCTCACAAATCTCTCATTTAAATTGACATTTTCTGTAGGAAGCTTTACAACATTATATTATATTGTACACATATTATAGTGCATAACACATATTATAATGCATAAACATCAGATTAGTCAGTATTGAAGCCAAATCTGGAGCTAATCTAACAATATAACTTACGATAACGGTTAAAAAATTAGTAGCACAAATTTAAATGTTAGTGAAAAAATATTAAGTAAAAATAAAAAAAGAGCAAAAATCAAAAGAAACAAAAAAATGGAATTCTGTAGCTTATATATTTTATATATATATATATATATATATATATATATATATATATATATATATATATATATTTTTTTTTTTTTTTTTCAATATTTTGCTTGAATTTAATTGTATCTTTCTATTTCTAAAGATGATTTGTGTCTAAAATAATATTTTAACAAATATATCTGTTTTATTCAAATACACCAAAATATATTAATTATATTCACTGGAAAATAGATACAGATATAGTGTACTCAATTATGCTGAGCTCTATAAAGTTGAAGTCAGAATTTTTGCTCCCCTCTGTATGTTTGCTTCACTTTCTGTTTAACGAAAATAAGATTTTCAACACATTACTCAACATAATAGTTTGTTCTGTAGACAGGCACAGGACGCCAGCATGACGTCATACTGACATTATACCCTAAAGTTGTGTGAGGATGTTGGATTTTGTTTGGAAATATAAATCAGGTTGACATCAATGTCTAATGTGTAATCTAAAATCAACCTAAAATCAACCAAATATCAATATATAATCATGTTACACTTTAATATTGTGTGGACGTTACCACTATGACATCTGTCAGACGTTAGATTTGGGTCACTTTCCAACACAATCTAAAATCAACCAAATATTAGTATAATTTGATGTTGTTATTGGACGTCAAAATATCATTGGTTTTAGACACTGGCTAGACATTGAATTTTGGTCACCTGTCGTCATGACCTTAATCTTACCTAATATTAACATCTTCTGATGTTGTGTGCCTGCTGGGTAAATGTTGCTTAAGGGGGCTAATAATATTGACCGTAAAATGGTTTTAAAAAATTCAATACTGCTTTTATTCTAGCCGAAATAAACCAAATCTGACTTTCTCCAGAAGAAAAAATATTTAAGGAAATAATGTAAAGAATTCTTTGCTCTGTTAAACATCTTTTGGGAAATATTAAACAAATAAATAAATAAAATTTAACAGGAAGGCGAACAATTGACTTCAACTCTATATTATTAATTTTTAATTTTTATAAATAAACTGCATCAATAAATTGCTAATAATTGTTGTCTCTTGAAAGTATGGAGATACAGTAACAGATCTGCAGACCTTCAGCACGGAGGTCATGAATACAGAGCAGCCCATGAGGAGGAAGATCATGAGTCCAGTGACCCGCTGCTCTCTGATGCCCAGGAATTTGGGCTGTTCTCCAGGCGCCGAGCACTCGGACTCCAGCTTCAGACTGTTGACATGAGAGATGGACAGGACGGTCGCCGCCACAAACCATGGCAGGCCCATAATAGAGCAAACGCCCAGCATCACACCCACCATAAACAGGTCCAGATGATACCCACAGCCCTTCTGCAGGAGAAACACATCATCACATCAAGAGTTAAAGTTAGGGTTGCACAATATATGGTGTCAGCATTTATATATTTCAATGTGCGCATCTGCAATAGTCACATCGCAAGATAATCCCAGCAGAGACTGTACTTCCTTCGTCAGCTGAGGATGTTTAACCTGCCACAGGAGCTGCTCGTACAGTTCTACTCAGCTGTCATCCAATCCATCCTCTGCACTTCAATCACCGTCTGGTTCGGCTCAGCTGCCAAAACCGACCTCAGTAGACTACAGCGAATAGTGCGGACTGCTGAACGTATCACTGGCACTACCCTTCCTACACTTCAAGAACTGTACTCTTCCAGAGTGAGTAAAAGGGCTTGCAAAATCCCTCTGGACACCTCGCACCCAGCACACTACCTGTTCGAACTGTTTTTTTTTTTGCCATAATAAAAAATACATTTGTAGAGCAACTCATGTTCTGTTGTGACAAACTTTAATATAAAACTGTCCAAAATATGAACAAAAGCAAGTAATGCATCAAAGTTTGATCAAAAAACATCTTGAATAGTTCTAAAAATCTTTATAATCATTTATATAATTTAGAAAAATACTACAAATTATTAGTTTACTTTAAGCCTAGTTCACACTACAGGATTTAAAACATCAGCAGATCGCTGTGCTGTTCACACTACATGACTTGACTCTGTGTCTTTTAATCTCTGTGGTGTTCACACTACGCAACACTCCGTGAACGATCCACAAGAGGGGGGTCACACACTACATGATCTGACAACATCTCATTCCCCATCAGCTCATTCAAGCTACCAAACCACAGCCAATGAAATTTTGAGGGAGGAGTTGTCAGAAAAAGCTGAACACTATTGGCTGCGTGTGCTGATGACATCACTGACAGCGTTTCAAGCTTTGGAGAAAGCATTTAAAAACATCGTCAAATCAGCTAATTTATCAGCGGATTAATCACTCATCTGCAAGGTTTGAGTGGATAGATACACAGAGAGTTTTTCATTTTTGTAATTTTATAACTCTTTGAAATAAAACTAACATATTTATAACACCCTGCCGCTTTCTAACTATCAGTGTATTTCTTTCTGACATTGTTATTTTTTTTATTACAAAACAGTAAAGAACTGAGCATTTCTGCCTTAAATTACCATATTGGTCAAAATGACTGCATGCATGTCTGATACTTTTCACTGTGACTTTAAATATGTGTGCATTTTCTTGCCTGGCAACTTCCTGCTAACATAAACAAAACTTTCTGATGGCAAAAACATCAATTTACTTCAGATATCTTTCAAAACAGCATATTCTGTGCTGTTAAATAGCTCCTGTTTGAAAGTGAAAATGAAAGCCAAGACCTTTAAGTGTTTTAGTATCTTAACTACATATTTATAGGCTGTATTACCAAAAAAAGATTATATTTTTAGGGTAATGGTGTCATTAAATATGATGCCAGACATTCAAAGCTTAATTTTAATATCTCAATAATAGCTTTGAATGTAAATATGTTGTGACAATATGGCGTTTTACATGAGAACGGTCAGAATGAGCAGTATAGTAATTCTAATAGTTACAGAATTCTAGTTCCACTGTTAATATAGCCTCCTCTCATGTCTGTGCTAACGCAGAATGAAGCGAGTGCACCGATGCCCATTCTGACCAATCACAGATGTTTCTGCTGAGCTCCTGAACACACAGCCATTCAGCTCATGCTGATATGCTCTCTCATTGGCTGCAGCTCGTCACTACATCTGACCACACGTGGGGTTGAGTCGGCCGACTGCTCTGGAATATTTAGCATGCTGAATTTTGGATTTCCGTCTGCGAGGTGTCGGCGACGCGTCAGCGAGCCTCGTTGATGCGTTGCTCAGTAGTTCACACATAAAGAGCGGCGAGCGCCGAGCACCCGCAGATTTCTTCCCGATCACAGCCCGATCTGTCGGCGAGCTCGTTAACTTCCAAATCGGGCTCAAATCAGGCTTAAAATCCTCTAGTGTGAACTAGGCATGAATAATATTAATGATATGACATAGTTCTTTGTACATCTCTGTTTATCCATCTGATTTTAAGGTCAGTTCCTTTTGACCTCCCCCTGTTGTTTTAAAGGATATCACAACAGCGAACGCGTCAAGTATAAAAGCCTCGTCCGTTTTGTGAGGTGTGCGCACAGTCAGCGGAAGTGTGCGACAGGGCGCCAGGCGAAAGTATAAATCAGGCTTTAGACTCCCAAGAAAACAGACAAATAGAGCTATTCAAACTATCTTATGAAACTGTTTTCATATTATAATATTTATCACAGAAAAAAATTGCAATATCCGATTTTTACAATATAATAGTTAAAGGGAGAGTTCCCCCATACTGAAAAAAAAGATTTTGGCTGCTTGTTCAAACTACTTATTTAAAATAGGCTGAAACAATACAATCATACTACTCAGCTCGCATACTGATTTTAGCGTACTACATAGTATGGAAGTATGCGGTTTCGGACGCAGCCATAGGTTTGGAACCACTAAAATGGTGAGTAAATTTTCATTTTGGGGTGAACTTTCTGCTTAACTTTGCACTAAAACTACACTGTAAAAAAGATCCGTTAATTACAGCTTCCGTATTTTGTGATTCTCAAATGTTTTCTGTTTGTTTACGGTTGTGAATTGCAATATGGCAGGATTTTTCAAAGTCTAAGACAGTGGGCCTCCCTTTTGACACAACTTATCCATTGGCGCCCCCCTCCTCCCAAACACACACGCACACACACGCGCACACGTACACACACACACACACACACACACAAAATTCTGGAGGTTTTCCTGCTACCTCATCATGCTTGGTTTGAAGGTGTCGCCGAAGTTTAGCGGGTCTCATGCTGTCATTAGCCAAAATATCTTGTATCTCGTAAATCCTAAACTCAAATACTGATCATCATATCGTCGTCTTTTGGGTTTAAGCCCTGAACTGGAAGGCTTTGAATAGGGGGGTCTCAGAAACCGATCCATTGTATTAGCAGGCATATACCTGTATTGGCGGGCTAGCCAAACAGAAGCGAATTCACAGCTATGGCTTTCTGGGTAAAAAAGGTTTTCTTATTTTAGTCGTATTATTTTTTTTAGCTTTGTTTTTTAAAACGTTTAAATATAATAAAAAATACATATAACAATTAAACTTTATAATTATATTTTTATTATATAATTTTTTTCCCGCGCCTCCCCTGACATGCTCTGGCGCCCCCCAGGGGAGGCGCGCCTCACACTTTGAAAACCCCTGCATTATGGGATGTAAATCTCTTATCTGTCGACTTTTGATGTTGAAAATTCAACTCTACAGTTTAACAAAGTGACTTTCACTGACATTTTAGTAGTTTAAAATAATGTATAAGAGATGATATATAGAGAAATAAGTCTGTAAAATACCGAAAAATGTACTGGCAGTTTATTACAAAGTGTTTGTTGCATAATACACAACACCAACTCAGACAATATATCACTTTAAACTATTATAAATATTCAAGTAACTTTTACAACTTTTCAAAATTAAAAGTTGTCAGAAGAAAGATCAAGCTCCTATAATGCAATTCAAAAGCAGAAATAAATGAGGAAAAATAAAACATTAATCACAAAATACGGAAAACTGTCAATTTTTTTATAGACATTGTAAGTAGTAATTGTGAAATGCGCTGGCATTTCTCTGTTTTTTGTGCGTCTGACCTTCAGCTTGTGCTCTTTCCGGTTGATGATGACGGCTGTGATCTGCTGGTCCATGAAGATGAGGATGGTGCACAGAAGAGCAGGAATGACTGTGATCACACACGTCCACCACGGGTTTGGACCTAACGGGCTAATCAGCCACCCACGATCATCACGAGTTGGCTGAAAACAAACAAATATGTTGGTAACATCTATTCTTATTCAAGACTATTAATGTGTGTACATATATACACACAGTTGAAGTAAGAGTTATTCGCCCCCCTTTGATTTTTTTTCTTTTTTTAAATATTTCCCAAATGATGTGTAACAGAGCAAGGAGATTTTCACAGTATGTCTGATAATATTTTTTCTTCTGGAGAAATTCTTATTTGTTTTATTTCGGCCAGAATTAAAAAAAAAGAAAAGCAATTAAAAATTTTTTAAAAAACATTTTAGGGGTAATATTATTAGCCCCTTTATGCAATATATTTTTTCGATAGTTTACAGAACCATCATTGTACAATAACTTGCCTAATTACTCTGACCTACTTAGTTAACCTAATTAACCTAGTTAAGCCTTTATATGTCACTTTAAGCTGCATAGAAGTGTCTTTAAAAATATCTAGTCAAATATTATTTACTGTCATCATGGCATAAAGATAAAATAAATCAGTTTTAGAGATGAGTTATTAAAATTATTATGTGTAGAACTGTGTTGAAAAAATCTGCTCTCCAATAAACAGAAATTGGGGAAAAAAATAAACAGGGAGGCTAATAATTCAGGGGAACTAATAATTCTGACTTTTACTATATATATATATATATATATATATATATATATATATATATAATTTTTTTTTTTTTATGCTGAGTAACAGTTAATATACGCCTAACATAATAATCTTTGAGCATTGTGTTTTGTTATTGTGAAGTACATAATTAGCAGCACACACCATACACACGTTGCCTAACACATGTTGCCTAAACACAGATCAATTGTGTGGAACCCAGCATTTCGTACAGTACACTCAAAAATTACATTCTTGCTGGTTGTTCAAGCCTCTTATTTAATATGAGCTGAATCAACAATTCTGGAGTGTTTTTGGGACAACTTAATTGCTTTACGTTAAATTTTCAAAAACAATTTAGTTAACTTAAAAAATAAAACAATGCTTATAAACAATGTATAGAGTTTGAAATCAATGTCAGTATATAATATGTATGAAATATGGTGTCATTATTACTTCAAAATGTTTAAGTGTCATTTAAATAAAAGCTAAAAGGCCCATTAAAAAAAAAAAAAAAAAATTATATATATATATATATATATATATATATATATATATATATATATATATATATATATATATATATATATATATATATATAATTTTGTTTGTATTCTGTATGCTTTGAGGTTTTTCATGTTTTTTCAGGATTTCATGTTGTACTGAGTTAAGTAGTTTAATTACGTATTGGGTAATTAAATTACTTGTCAGACAAATTAATTAAAAAAGTAATTTAAACTAAATTTTAATGATGTAATAAGTAACTAATTCATTTTTTGAGGTAACTTAAGCAACACTACACTCTAAAAAGTGCTGGGTTATTTCAACCCAATTCTGGGTGTAATAGGGACTGAGCCAACTGCTGAGTTAATTTTTCTTAATTAAATTAATAGGATCAAATTTAACCCATTGTTTGGTTTAGTCCATATTTTACACAATTTGGGTTTAAATAATAATAATAATGATTTTTTTTAAATAAGGTTGACCTGTTTTTTTCCCCCACATAATAATTTAAACATAAGTTATTACCAAACCTTAAACTCATTGGGGACCTGCAGTTTGGGTGAAGGCACCCCGAGAGCGTAATCCACCAGAACCATAGTGACAATAGTGATGAACACCGCAAAATCACTGATGATGGATCTGACCTGGAGGAAACATGAAGCAGAAATTACTCAGCAGTAACACTAGAGGGCGCCAGGACGCAAATAACTAGAACTGATGGCAAATACAGCTGAAGTCAGAATTATTAGCCCTCCTCTGAATTTATTTTCCTTTTTAAATATTGCCCAATTGATGTTTAACAAAGCAAGGAAATTTTCACTGTATTTGGTATAATATTTTTTCTATAAAGACTTATTTGTTTTATTTCAGCTAGAATAAATGTAGTTTTAGATTATTTTAAAACTATTTTAAGGTCAATATTATTAGCCCCCTTAAGAAATACTTTCCTAATTACCCTAACTTGCCTAATTAACCTATTAAGCCTTTAAATGTCACTTTAAGCTGAATACTAGTATCTAAAATATCTAGTTAAATATTATGTACTGTCATCATGGCAAAATAAATCAGTTATTAAAGATGAGTTATTAAAACTATTATGATTAGAAATATGTTGAAAAAAATCTGCTCTCTGTTAAACAGAAATTGTGGTTAATAAATCAGGAGGGCTAATAGTTCTGACTTCAGCTGTATATATAGCGCTGCAGCAGCTCTCAGACGAGACAGTGGGTGGATAATGACTGCAGTACCTTGGTGGGAAAATAGCGGCTGGTCTTGAACTCTTTGAGAAAAGCAGACATGGCGACCGTGGAGAAGAAGAGAACGATAGACCAGAAGAGAACATCGGGAACATACGGACCATGAGGCCCGCAAGCAGACCCCACAAATACACCTTTCTTCTCAATACAGTCCTGAAAGCAGATGATAGGTTATTATTTAAAGCAGTTATTTAAACCCCATGTCTATTTAACACTTGGATTTAAAGTTATCAATCTTTGGGTTTGGTTGTTAGCCTGCTCGACAGGGGTTGCTAGGGTGTGGCAAAAGTGATGTGTGATTGGCTGTTTGCCCACCCTCAAGTCTCTGACACTGTTCCAAAGATACACATCTGGGCCTTTTTTTATAATTGCACTCTATGGGTTCAGTTGCTAGGGTGCTGTAACTGGTTGCTAAGGTGTGGTTTGGAGTTTGTATAGTCATAATTTATTGGCTGCTTGCTACTCTTAATTAAATGAGTCCAGCCCCAAGTCAATGTGAGTGTCTATCAGGTAGTTGCTAGGATGATGTAGCTGGTTGCTAGGGTGTTTGTAGGGTGTTTGTACTGAGTTGACGTCAGTTATTGACACCTCAGTTGACTGTATGAATAAATATATAAATGAATGAATATAGAATGAACGACAGCTTTCATATGATTTCGGTCTCATGTTATATTAATGTTCTCATGATGTTACCTAAATGTTATTAGAACATTTCACATTATATTAATGTTCTAAGAATGTTTTTCCATCAACATTATGAGAACCCCATCTCTAAATTTCTTGGATTTGAAGACATCAATCTTTGGGTTGGGTTGCTAGGGTGCTTTAAAGTGGTTGCTAGGTTGTGGCAAATGTGCTGTGTAATTGGCTGTTTGCCCACCCTCAAGTCTCTGACACTGTATTCCAAAGATACACATCTGTTTTTTTTTTATAATGGCAGTCTGAGGGATCAGTTGCTAGGGTGCTGTAATTGGTAGCTAGGGTGTGGTTAAGAGTTTATATAGTCATCCTTTATTGGCTGCTTGCTACTCTTAGTTAAATGAGCCCAGCGCCAAGTCTATGTGAGTGTCTATCAAGTAGTTGCTAGGATGCTGTAGCTGGTTGCTAGGGTGTGTTTGGGGGTTTGTATTGAGTTGACGTTAGTTATTGACACCTCAGTTGACTGTATGAATAAATATATAAATGAATGAAGATAGAATGAACAACAGACAGTTTTCATAATGTTTTAGTCTCATGTTATATTAATGTTCTCATAATGTTACTTAAATGGTTATTAGAACATTTCATTGACACTACATTAATGTTCTAAAAATGCCTCTTTATCAACATTATGAGAACATTCATCAATAACAAACATCCTAAAGACTATTTTTAATAATGTTTTCCATCAATGTTTTTTAATGTTGCATGCTAATATTTACACAACTTTTAAGAAACGCTACTTAATGCTCTAGAAATGTTCCCTGTTAGTTGGGACGGTTGATCATGTTGATCATTTAGAGGCCTATAGAGAAAATATACAGTAAGTCTGACAGAGTTAACATCAGTAGGTTTTCCTCAATGCTGACCTCAACTTCCAGAGCCTCCCAAAATATTTCTGGCGCTGAAATGTTGTTCTGCTCCCAATATTGCAGAGTGGCATTACTAGGGTTTTCGGGTTCAATACAGGAACATCTACAAGAACAAAAAACATCCTTTAATTGCATCGCTGACCAGTTAATATCAGATCCTCCAAGAGTTGTCGATTTCTCATCAATAAAATGCTTGTCCAGCTTAATCTTTTGAGGAAATTTAACTTTTGTACATTTGTCAGTTTAATTAATAAGCAAAAAAGGGATTCATTGGATTTACCCTTTTTTTAAGGTAAGTGGTTGCAAACAACGTGTATTGGTTAAATGTAAACAAACATATTAAGTTTAACATTGCTAAAGTTAATTTGTGTAAATTCAGCCCATATACATTGTTTACTTTAAAAAAAATTATTCATTAGATTTACTTTTTTTTTTTTTTTTGTAGTTCTATGCAGCATCTACGGTTTAAACCAGAAGTTTACATATACTGTATAAAAAGACACATAACCACTTAAAAAAAAAAAAAAAAACATTTAAAAAATTTTTCTCTTTTAGGTAGTTTAGGATTATCACATTTGTTTCTGTTATGCTTAATAGCAGAATTATGAGAGATATTTTTTGAGAAATTGTTATAACTTTTCTTGAAAGTCAAGTTTACATACAATAAGATTATTACGCCTCTGAAAAAGCTGAGATGATAGTGTCAAGGTTTTGGAGTTAATAGGAGGCACAACTGTAGAATAGTATTTAAGGAAAACCTCAAACACACTGCTTCCTTGTGTGACAACGTGGGAAAATCAATAAGCCAGAATCAACAACAAAGCCAGATTACAATTTGCTAAATAACACTGGGAAAAAGACTAATGTTTGGAAACATGTCCTGTGGGCTGATGGAACTAAGATTGAACTGTTTGGCCATAATGATCATTGTTACATTTGAAGGACAAAGGGGAAAGTGCACAAGCCTAGCAACACCATCCCAACTGTGAAGTATGGGGGCGGCAGCATCATGTTGTGGAGCTGTTTTGCTGCAGGAGGGACTGGTCCACTTCACAGCATAGATGGCATAATGAAGACAGAACATTATGTAGATATACTGAAGCAACAGCTCAAGACATCAGCCAGGAAATTAAAACTTGGCCATAAATGGGTCTTCCAAACAGACCATGACCCTAAGCATACCGCCAAATTAGTTCAGATGTGCTTTAAGGACAACAGAGTGAATGTTTTAGAGTGGCCATCACAAAGCCCTGATCTCAATCCTATAGACAATTTGTGGGCAGAGTTGAAAAAGCTTGTGCGAGCAAGACGGCCTACAAGTCTGACTCAGTTACACCAATTCTGTCAGGAGGAATTGGCTAAAATTCCTTCAAATTTATGTGAGAAGCTTGTGGAAGGATAGTCAAAACATTTGACTAAAGTTATCCAGTTTAAAAGCAAAGCTAAAAACATACCAAGGAAATGTGTCAAACTTTTGACTGTCTAGAAATTAAAAAAATAAACTCTCATTATTCTGGAATTTAGCAAATGTAAATCATTTAGGTAATCCTAACAGACCTAAAATGGTAAACGTTTAGTATGATTTACTATCAGACATTTTTAAAAATGGTTATGTTCCTTTTTTTAGAGTGTGTGTAAACTTCTGGTTTCAACTGTATATTGCTCAGTGTCAGTCAAAGCAGAGTGTTCACCTGTATGTGGTGAGTTTGTCCAGATTGTTGTTCTTATTAAACTGGTATGTTTCTCCAAGGTGAATGAGCTTCTCGATGGCCTCGTAGATGAAGATGATGCAGATGAGCGAGGCGAAGGCTTCCTCCGTGAAGCGTGTGATGTAACAGACCAGTGAACTGGCATCGGTGGCCACCAGCAGCAGACAGAGGAAGGCTGTCCACAGCCCGATACACACCCTGAGCGACAGGTATGACAGACCGTATTCCCTGCAGACACACAAACACAGAGATAAGTGGAAGAAAGGAAGGAAGTAAGTAAGTAAGGAAGGAAGGAAGGAAGGAAGGAAGGAAGGAAGGAAGGAAGGAAGGAAGGAAGGAAGGAAGGAAGGAAGGAAGGAAGGAAGGAAGAGTGGGTGGATGGGTGGACGGGTGGAAAGATGGAAGTAAGGGTGGGAAGGTGGATGGATGAATAAGTGGGTGGGTGGGTGGATGGATGGGTGGATGGAAGACAGGAACAAAAGGATGAATGGACGGATGGAAGGATGAAAGGAAGAGTGGGTGGGTGGGCATATTGGTGGATGGATGGATAAGTGGGTGGGTGGATGGATGGATGCCAGAAACAAAAGGATGGATAAATGAAAGGAAGGAAGGATGTATGTAAGGAATGAATGATGGATGGATGGATGGATAGATGGAAGGAAGGAAGGAACGAAGAAAGGAAGGAAGGAAGGATGTATGCAAGTAAGGAATGATGGATGGATGGATGGATGGATGGATGGATGGATGGATGGATGGATGGAAAGAAGGAAGGATGGATGGAAGGATGGATGGATGGAAGAAAGGAAGGAAGGAATGATGGATGGATAGACTGGAGGAAGGAAGGAAGGAAGGAAGGAAGGAAGGAAGGATGAATAGATGGATGGACAGAAAGAAGGAAGGAAGGAAGGAAGGAAGGAAGGAAGGAAGGAAGGAAGGAAGGAAGGAAGGAAGGAAGGAAGGAAGGAAGGAAGGATGGATGGATGGATGGATGGATGGCTTGAAGGGTGGGTGGGTGAATGGATGACAGGAACAAACGGATGGACAGATGGATGGATGGATGCATGGATGGGTAAACAATGGATGGATGGGCAGAAAAATTATGTATCAATGGGTAATTGGGAAAAGGGGAAAACATGAATGAATGAATGAATGAATGAATGGATAAAATGGTGAAAGAACTGATGAAATGGGGGAAAGACAAAATGATGGAGGAATTGATCAATGGATAATTTATATGGACTGGTTTATGAGGAGAAAATATGGATGGATGTATGTATGCATGGATATACTGTACAACAATACTATAGACCATTTCAATGTGATGTCATTTGCCCAAGAACATTTCCTGCTTGTTTTTAAACTACTTCATGACTGCAACAAGATGCAATTTAATCATATCTTGACATTAAATCAGCTATCATGACATAATTGATCAACAACTGGACTTTTTTGAACTCTCAGAATCTGTGGAAATTAAAAGTGTAAAACAGGATATATGTTAGAACCATTATTATTGTTTATATCCCTCAAAATGGTCTATATGCTTTATCAGCAGAACAAAGAAAACAGATTAATAGTCAGAGAGACAGAAAGCATCAGACATACTTGCAGAATTTGAACAATATCTTCTCAAACACCAGAACAGGTCCAGTGCTGCCCAGAATAGTGAGAGGCTGACCAGCAAACAGAGAATACGCAATTCCAGTCATCGAGGCTCCAAACAGAGATTCAATTGCACTCTGGGAAGAGAGAGGAGGAAAGAATATGTTAGACAATCAGGTTTATATTACTTTTATTTATAAATAGAGGCTGCTGAACGCTTGATTCTGATTGGCTGATGAACATTCTAAGGTGTGCCATTATTTTCTCGTAAACACACAGCTACAGTAGTTCCACCGCTTGAGAGGATTCCAGAGAACACAGTCCTGTGAGCTTTGTTTCTGACCGCATTAGCTCTTAAGGGTTTGATTATTGCAGTCGCTGGATTTCCAATTACTTACAATATATCCGTGTTTGCTTACAGGGACATGAATAAAAAAGGTTACTGGCGAGTTACTGAAATGCATTCATGTTATATATTTTTGCAAAAAATATGGGAATCGCATGCTAACTACAACCCCAAATCATAAAAAAGTAGGGACAGTATGGAAAACACAAATCAAAAGAGGAAGTAGTGATTTCTAAATTTACTTTAGCTTGTATTTCACGGCAGACAATACAACAAACATTATTAATGTGCTCCTCATGATTTTTTTTATTGTTTTGTTTTTCCCTCTTAATAAACACGTATTCCAATTTGGGTTCTTGCAACACATTTCAAAAAGAGTTGTAACAGTAAACCATTTATTTATTTATTAATGTATTTAGCCATTAATAAAGACTTAAAAGACGTTTAGGGACTGAAGACACCAAGTGATGAAGTGTTTCAGGTGTAATTGTGTCCCATTCTTCCAGCAAACAAGTCTTAAAATGGGCAACAGTATGGGGTCTTCTTTTCAAAAATGCACCACACATTCTCTATTGGAAACAGGTCAGGACTGCAGACAGGCCAGTCAAGTACCTCTTTCCTCTTCCTCCGCAGCCAGGACTTTGTAATTTTGCATTGTTTTGTTGAAATATACATGGGTGTCCCTGGAAAAGAAGGCAGCATATTGTGCTCTAAAATCTCAATGTACTTTTCAGCATTAATGGTGCATCACAGAAGTGCAAGTAACCTGGGCACTGACACATGACAGAGACTGGCTTTTGGACTTGTTGCTGGTTACAGTCTGGATGATCCTTTTCTTCTTTGGTCCAAAGCACACGGCATCCAATTCTCCCAAAAGATACCTGAAATACTGATTCATCTGACCACAGTTCCCATTTCCACTGTGTGATGGTCTATCCCCGATGCCTCCGAGCTCAGAGAAGTCAACAGCGCTTCTGGACACAGTTAACGTAGGGCTTCCTTTTGGCTCAGTACAGTTTTATCTGGCATTTGTGGATGTAAATACGTATTAGGATACTTGATGAAGGTTTGCCAAAGTAGTCCTGAGCCCATGTGGTGATATGGCTTATAAATGAATGTGGATTCTTGATGCAGTGCTGCCTGAGGGATCGGAGATCACCGTTCAGCTTAGGCTTTGCACCCCTTGTCCTTTACACACAGAAATTCCTCCAGATTCCTTGAATCTTTTAATGATGTTCTGCACTGTTAAAGGTGAAATATCCAAATGTCTTCCTCTCTTTCTATGAGGAACATTGTTTTTAAACATTTCAATCATTTTCTCATGTATTTGTTGGCAAACTGGCCAACACTAAAGCTACGTCCCAAATCGCATACTTATGCACTATTCTGCGCCATTTTGTAGTATAAATAGTGTAAGTAGTGTGTTCACACTTAAAAATCAAAAAATAATAAGTGCACTTTAATTACCAGGATGATGCATTTATACAGCCGCTAAAATGAAGTGTGTAATGATGGACACTTCACGCACTCAACGACCGCAATTTTGTTTACTTAGCGGAAGGGGCGGAGCTTTCGGACGCACATGTTGAATAACTTTATTTTGAATGGTGAAAGCAAAATTCTCCTACGAGAGTGATTATAGCGCCTCCCGATGGTGAATGCGGTTATACTCACGGCAGGTATTATTTGATAATTCGGTCGTTTATTTCACTGATTTGGCAACCGTCAAACGTCATCAGGGAAACGGTTTGAATTTCCGCTTAAAAAAGTCCCATTTGGGACACCACTACATACATATACTATCCTGTTGAGTGTGTAAGTGCATAAGTACATAGTGCATGAGTGCATAGTGTATAGTGTGCCATTTGGGACGCAGCTTAGGACTTGACCTTCTTCTTCTTCTTCGTTTTATGGCGAGTTGCGAACCAACTTTAAAGGTGCATATCGCCACCTACTGTGATGGAGTGTGAAGAGGTTGAACTGGTTTCCTAAATTCTATTGTATAATCCACTATTTTTAATGAACCTTATTACTGCCTTTATTTGTCTTTCTGAATCTAAACCATCTTTTAATAAACCCTTTATTGTGAAATCCTGGTATCCTAAACTATGCAATTCCTCTTTAAGGTTTCTTCTTTCATTTTTATATGCCTTGCACCTTTTTAAAACATGTTCTACTGTCTCATCTGTTAGACATGTGTTGCATAAACCTGTCTCATGTTTCCCCATTATGTGTAATGTTTGATTTAAAAATGTATGTCCTGTTCTTAAACGTGTTAAAATAACTTGTTCTCTTCGACTAAGATTATGTGATATTTTGCTTTTCTTTACTGTTTTTTGGATCTTATGATAATGTCTACCTGTGTTATTGGACTCCCAAACTTTCTGCCATTTCCTATTACAAGCTTCTAAGATTAAGCTTTTTCCTTCTGCTCTGCTTAGTGAAATGTGTCTAATTGGTTCATTTTGTTGTAGAGATTCTTTAGCTGTTTTATCTGCCTCCTCATTGCCCTGAATACCGACATGCGCTGGAACCCACATTAAATGAACTATTACTCCCATCTGTGTTAGATTATTAAACTTGATCATAATTTCTGTTAGAATGTCATTTCTTTTCGATTCCATTGATTTTAAACTCATCAAGACAGCCATTGAATCAGAACATATTAGAGCTTTATCAGGTCTGGTTTCATATATCCACTCTAATGCCATCAAAATTGCAACCATCTCAGCTGTGTATACAGAAGTTCCATCTGATATCCTTTCAGACTTCCTCACTTCAAGCTCTGGGACATAGAATGCCACTCCTGTCCTTCCTGACTCCATACTCTTTGAACCATCTGTATATATTTGTAGATATGAGTAATATTCATTAATAATGTAGTCCTTGACATATGTGTTTATGTTAACAGCTTCTTCCATCTCTCTTTTGTTTTCATGTAATTTTAAATCTACTTTTGGTTGTTCAAGTAACCAAGGTGGAATTGGTGACATTATATTTATTGATGCAAAAGTTAATATATCTAGACCGTTCTCATTTACCCATTCTTTGATTTTCCAGGCAAAGCCCTTCCCTTGTGTATTTATAAGTTCCCAGGAATCATTCAAAACATTTTTCACAGGATGATTCTCACTTTGTCCCTGTAGATTTATCCAGTACGCCTAGGACAGGGGTCGGCAACCCAAAATGTTGAAAGAGCCATATTGGACCAAAAAAAACAAAAAACAAATAGGTCTGGAGCCGCAAAAAAATGTAAAGCCTTATATAAGCCTTATAATGAAGGAAACACATGCTGTATGTATCTATAGTAGCTATATTAGCCTACTATAAAAACGACTAAGTTGGCTATAAATACATAATAAGCCTTCATGATTAAATAGCCACTGAAATCAGGTGGTTGGTGTTTATTTCGTTGTCATTAAAACACTTCAGCACAGCCTCTGGTCTTCCAGTGGTATTAATTTGATCATTTCTTCTTGCGGCCCATCAGAGTTCACATACCTGCATAAAAGCGCATTGAATATCGGTCACATCACAGGCAATTGAGTATGCTGGCACTGAATTAATGTCCTTGGTTTACTGATCGGTGATGTTACCTGCCATTTTAATAGCCCTTTCCTTCACTGTCTTAGCAGAGAGAGGTACAGTATATCTTTAATTTTTTGTATTATCTTGGTTTTGAATTCTGCAAATAGGTGTTCTAGTATGTTGATGAATGACTCCTTCATGTAGTCACCATCTGTGAACGGTTTTCCGTGCTTTATCATCTCCCGGTTTGTTTACAACAGCCACCTGCCTGGCATCCTGCCCTGCTGATAGAAACCTGTGTCGCAGGCTATGACGCAAATCTTCGTTGACAGAAATGTTGAAATTAAATATTAATTCTACACACTTTTACAGCGTTTGAAAACGTTCAAAATGTTTGTCCTCCAATAGAAATCATATTAAAACATATAATATAAAAAATTTATATTAACCTTCCCCATCTTTTTGAACATTTTTGAAGAAGCTCCAGGGAGCCACAAGGGCAGCACTAAAGAGCCGCATGCGGCTCTAGAGCCGCGGGTTGCTGACCCCTGGCCTAGGACTTAACCTTTCCTGTATGCTGCTTTTGTACTTAATCATAATTACAATCACCTGTTGACATCACCTGTTTCAAATCGCTTCATTATTTATCCAATTTACCTGATTACTAGCCCAAACTGCTCCTGTCCCAACTGTTTTTGAAATGTGTTGCAAGAATCAAAATGAGGAACACATTAATAAAGTTTGTTGTATTGTCTGCAATAAAATACAAGTCAAAGTAAATTTAGAAATCACTTCTTTCTTTTTGGGTTTGCGTTTTTTATACTGTCCCAAATTTTTCTGATTAGGAAGACAGTACCAAACAGTAATGCTGCTTCAGAACATTTCAGACATATAGGACAGTCGGCTCCCATTGAAAATGAATGGCTTCTGGCTACTTTGACGCTCTCGCCACTGGCGGTGTGAAAATGCTGCAGTTCTTACTATGCGTCCCTCTGTTGCTTCTCCCAGCAGCCCTCCGAAGGTGATCACAGGAGACATGCAGGCGCAGTACAGGAACAGGAAAGAGGCCAGACACTGCAGGCTCAGCGCATCTCCGAAATCTGACAGCAAGTGTGGAGCCTTCCGCTTCACATCCAGAATTAATCCACCAAATAACCTGACAAAACACACCAGACACACCAGATTACTGATCTGATCTGATCTGTGGGGAGAGAGCTGGAAAACCGGCTTAGTCTGAATCCACTGATTTAGAGCTGTGTGATTTAGACACTCGCAATGTGCCAAACTTGTGTTCAATTATTTGTCACACTTAAATGTTTTCCTTCCAAACTGCCATAAGTTTAACACGGGAAATATTTTATTTTACTGTAACTTAATACTGTTAAACTTTACAATAAGGTTCCATTAGTTAATGTATTCACTAACATGAGCAAACAATGAATAATACACTTATTACAGTAATTATTCATCAATATTTGTGAAATGCAATGTCATAATTCTTAAAGATTCATATTTGTTAAATGAAATCTTAGAGATCTGACTTAAAAAAGTCATATTTGTGAAATTTAAGCAGGATTATTAATAAAAAGTCAGATTTGTCAAGTGTAAAATCAGAATTCTTAATAAAATCTCCTATTTGTAAGATGTAGCATCAGAATTCTTCATAACAAGTCAGATTTGTAAAATGTAATCACATAATTCTTAATAAATATCATATTTGTGAGATATAAACTCAGAATTCATAATACAAATAATATGTCAAAAGTAATATCATAATTCATAATTAAAGTCATAAATGTGAGACATTGACTCAAAACCCTTTATAAAAAGGTTATATTTATTAAATGAAAAATCCGAATCGCTAATAAGTCATATTTGTGAGAAGAAATCTCAGAATTCTTAATAAAAAAATGAAAAATGTGAAATATAAACTCCAAATTCCCAATAAAAAGTCATATTTGTGAAATGTAATTTCAGAACTCTTCTTAAAATATCCTATTTGTGAGACGAAAACTCATAATTCTTAATAGAAAGTCCTTTTTGTGAAATGTAATATAATTCTTTATAAAATCTTATATTTATGAAAACTAACTCAAAATTCCTAATTCATATAAAAAAGTCATACTTGAGAGATTTCACATCATAATTCTTAATAAAAAGTCATGTTAGTGAAATGTAAACTCATAATTCCCAATTAAAAAGTAATTTGTCAAATTAAAACTTATAATTCCTAAAAAAAAATATATTTGTGGGATGTAAACTCATAATTCCTAATCAAAAAGTCATATTTATATAATGTAATCACATAATTCTTAATAAAATATCATATTTGTAAAATGTAATCTCAGAATTCCTGATAAATAAGTCATATTAGTGAGAGGTAAACTCGTCATTCTTAATATAAAAAGTCACATTTGTCAAAAGTAATATCATATTTCCTAATAAAAGTCATAAGTGTGAGATATAATCTCAAAAATCTTTATAAAAAGGTTATGAAATGAAAAATCCAAATTTCTATTAAAAGTCATATTTGTGAGATGAAATCTCAGAATTCCTAATAAAAAATGAAACATGTGAAATGTAAACTCCAAATTCCTAATAAAAGTCATATTTGTAAAATTATATCTCAGAATTCTTATTAAAAGGGTCATAACATCAGAATTCTCAGAATTATTAAAAACATTAAAAACAGAGTTCAAGTTATTAAAAAGTCAAATATGTGAAATGGTATCTCAGAATTCTTAATATAAAGTCATATTTGTAAGAGGTAACATCAGAAACCTTGATTACAAAGTCAAATTTAGGAAATGTAAATTTTAAATTCCTATTAAAAAGTCATATTTGTTAGATTTAATCTCAGAATTCCAAATAAAAATCATATTTGTGAAATGTAAACTCATAATGAAAAGTTGTTTTTATAAAAAAAGGAACTCAAAATTCTTCATTAAAAAGTAATTCTTAAGACTCAAAATTCCTAAAAAAATAAAATAAAATAAAATAAAATCATATTTGTGAGATGTAAACCCAAAATTCCTATTTTAAAAAATCATATGTATAAAATATACCATAAGAATTCTTTATAAAATGCCATTTTTGTGAAATGTATTCTCATATTTATTTAAAAAATGCAGTATTTGTAAAATGTAAACTCATAATGAAAAGTTGTTCAAAAAACTCAAAATTCTTCATTAAAAAGTAATTTTTTTTGCAAAATCAAGACTCAAAATTCCTAAAAAAATAAATAAAATCATATTTGTGAGATGTAAACGCAGAATTCCAATTTTAAAAAAATCATATGTATCAAATATAACATAAGAATTATTTATAAAATGCCATTTTTGTGAAATGTATTCTCATAATTATTTATAAAATGCAGTATTTGTGAAATGTAAACTCATAATGCTTAGTAACAAGTCATATTTGTGAGATGTAAAATCAGATTTCTTCATAAAAAGTGATATTTGTGAGCTGAAAACTCATGTGACATTGTACAACGTGCAACCGCAAGAAAAAGCTGATATATAAAAATAACAGCTCCTCATTCCATTAAGTCTCCTGAACTTTGCAACCACCCAGAAATCCATTGTTCAACTCAGAAGCCAAATGACTGTAAAAGGTCACATGGCTCATCAGTTAAAGGGCACGTAATAATAATGCAGATTATATTGCATTCTGTACCACAAAGTAACCGCGAGCCGTGCCACTGAGGACCAGGTTTTCAACTCTCCAGTGAACTGGACGCACGCCATCTTTGACATTTGGTCACACTCTTCCTGTTGAGTGACAGTTTTCACAACTTTGAGTGACTTTCTCTCTTCTCACAACAATAATCCCCTTCTGTTCTCAGATGGCTCTTTTCTCCCAAATGCTCCGATCGAGTCTGACCAGCCCTGATTAAGATTTCTTTCTGCTTAAAGAACTTTTGCATTGCACGGTGTGTCTATTTTCTGTATCATTTGTGTTATTTACCACAGACCAGTGCTCTTGATTTGACCTTGCATTTCTACACTCAAAAACAAACACAGTTGAAGTCAGAATTATTAGCTCCCCTGTTTATCTATTTCCCCAACTTCTGTTTAACGGAGAGAAGATTTCTTCAGCACATTTCTAAGCATATTAGTTTTAATAACTCATCTCTAATAACTGATTTATTTTATCTTTGCCATGATGACAGTAAATAATATTTGACTAGATATTTTTCAAGACACTTCTATACAGCTTAAAGTGACAGAGGCTTTAAAGGCAGGTTAGGGTGATTAGGCAAGTTATTGTATAATAATAGTTTGTTCTGTAGACTATCGAAACAATATATAGCCTAAAGGGCCTAATTATTTTGACCTTAAAATGGTTTTAAAAAAATTAAATCTGCTTTTTTTCTAGTCAAAATAAAATAATTAAGACTTTCTCCAGAAGAAAAAATATTATCAGACATACTGTTTAAATTTCGTTGCTCTGTTAAACATCATTTGGGAAGAATAAAAAATAAATAAAAAAATCAAAGGGGGGCTATATACAGACTTAAACTGTATATAAAATAGTGCTGTCGATTTAAAAAATACTAATTAATCGCAACTTTTTTTGAAAACTCATCACGATTAATCACATTTAAAAGACTGAAATTTGTAATTTTGGCAATTCAAATGTAAAACTAATGTAAACGCAAGACAAAAACTATTTAAATTTAAATTATAACTGTTTATTAGAATTTTTGTTTAACTTGTAACACAGATTTCTTCATGTAAACAACAAACCCACAATAAACCATCAAGATCCTGGGTAGAAAGATCCTAGATATTTATTACAGAAATTAAAACACAGGCATGTTAATGCCACTTGAATTTCAAAACAATCAATGCCAATAAAGAAAAATATGGTCCCACTTTATATTAAGTGGCCTTAACTAATATGTACTTACACAGGAATTAAAAATTTGTTACAATGTACTTATTGTGAAAATACATGTATTTACTGTGTACTTATGCTTGATTAAATACATGTATGTAATTACATCTGTAGTTAACTTTTGTAATTACATTTGTAAATACACTGTTGACCATCCCTTACACCTTAACCCACCCTTAAACCTACCCACACCACCAAACCTGTCCATAACCCAACCTCTATCCCAACTCAAGAGCACCACAAGTGTACTCAAATACATTATAAACACAGTAAGTACATTGTATTTATTTTTTGATGTAAGTACATAGTAGTTAAGGACACTTAATATAAAGTGGGACCGAAAAAATTACATAATTACATAAAATGCCAAAATACAGGCGTTGCAGATATGGAAAATGGAAAATAATAATAATAATAAAGTATTGAATACAAACAAATGCACTCACTGAAAAGTTGTATTGCTGTTAGTTGAGAACATTAATTATCAAGCAGAAAAATTTTACTCAGTCTTTAGTTACTAAAACAGGCCAGTCTGTTGACATTATCGGGGGACAATGTGGACCTTTTCCTTTGAATGATGTGAGCTGAGAGTGCAACGCAATCTCACAGCAATTCATAACTTTTTCATTTAGTGGCTACGGATGTTTATATAGGTTTGTTGCTATGAAACACGTGCGGAATGAACCGCCAACTTATCCAGGAAATGTTTTACGCAGCAGATGCCCTTTTAACCGCAACCCAACACTGGGAAACACCCATACACTCTTTCATTCACACACATACACTACAGTCAATTTGGTTGAATCAATTTCCCTTCAGCGCATGTGTTTGGACTGTGGGGGAAACCGGAGCACCCGGAGGAAATCCACGCGAACACAGGGAGAACATGCACACTCCACACAGAAATGCCAACTGACCCAGCCGGGGCTCAAACCAGCGATCTTTTTGCTGTAAGGCGACTGTGCTACCCACTGCGCCACCGTGACGCCCCATCAATCATGTTCCTCTTTCAAAAACAATTCCCTTCCGAAGGATGGTGAACGAGTGAGTGCTTAATGTGTTTGTGCGTTTGTGTTGATGAAAGAAAGAAAACCGAATAGTCAATGAATGAAGCTAAAAAAAGACTTCAGGGTAGAAAGCAAGCTGTTCTGGTTGGAAATATAATAGCACAAGATGACTCAGAAAAAAAACATCCGAAAATAAAAAAAGACATTATAAAATATTTAAATGATCTTATTAAGGAACCAGATTTCACACAATGTTTTTCACATGTGATTGTGATAAATCTCACTCGCGCACACACACACACACACACACACTCCAGACTGACCTCCCGGTGCGCTGCAGCTCAGGGCCTCCGTGTCCACCATGTTCCTCCGTCTCTGCCAGCTCTCCATTAGGCACCGCGGGGATCTTTCTCTTCTCCTGTTTTTATCAAACACACAGACAGAAACGACACACACTTCATCAAGCTGACAGCAAGACTCGCGGCGTTATTCCTCAAACATTCTGCTTAGTGTAAGTGTTAAACTGCTGTAATTAATTCATGCCCAACTGATTCACACGCATTTGTTTTCTAGACAGCTAGGATGATGTCATCATACAATTTGCATGCTGAATTGTGATTGGCCATATGTATATCTGATATATTGCTGTATAAAAACACGTGTTACATTATAGATGTTACATTGTACATTTTATATATATATATATATATATATATATATATATATATATATATATATATATATATATATATATATATATATATATATATATATATATATATATATAAATAAAATATATATATATACACACACACACACACAC